GGTGGGTGGGTGGTGGGGAGAGAGAGGTTCAGGTAGCCGCTCTTGGTCACCACGGTGGGTGGGTGGTGGGTGGGTGGTGGGGAGAGGTTCAGGTAGCCGCTCTTGGTCACCACGGTGGGTGGGTGGTGGGTGGGTGGTGGGGAGAGAGAGGTTCAGGTAGCCGCTCTTGGTCACCACGGTGGGTGGGTGGTGGGTGGGTGGTGGGGAGAGGTTCAGGTAGCCGCTCTTGGTCACCACGGTGGGTGGGTGGTGGGTGGGTGGTGGGGAGAGAGAGGTTCAGGTAGCCGCTCTTGGTCACCACGGTGGGTGGGTGGTGGGTGGGTGGTGGGGAGAGGTTCAGGTAGCCTCTCTTGGTCACCACGGTGGGTGGGTGGTGGGTGGGTGGTGGGGAGAGAGAGGTTCAGGTAGCCGCTCTTGGTCACCACGGTGGGTGGGTGGTGGGTGGGTGGTGGGGAGAGGTTCAGGTAGCCGCTCTTGGTCACCACGGTGGGTGGGTGGTGGGTGGGTGGTGGGGAGAGAGAGGTTCAGGTAGCCGCTCTTGGTCACCACGGATGGGTGAGTGGTGGGTGGGTGGTGGGGAGAGAGAGGTTCAGGTAGCCGCTCTTGGTCACCACAGTGGGTGGGTGGTGGGTGGGTGGTGGGGAGAGAGAGGTTCAGGTAGCCGCTCTTGGTCACCACGGTGGGTGGGTGGTGGGCGGGTGGTGGGGAGAGAGAGGTTCAGGTAGCCGCTCTTGGTCACCACGGTGGGTGGGTGGTGGATGGGTGGTGGGGAGAGAGAGGTTCAGGTAGCCGCTCTTGGTCACCACAGTGGGTGGGTGGTGGGTGGGTGGTGGGGAGAGAGAGGTTCAGGTAGCCGCTCTTGGTCACCACTGTGGGTGGGTGGTGGGTGGGTGGTGGGGAGAGAGAGGTTCAGGTAGCCGCTCTTGGTCACCACGGTGGGTGGGTGGTGGGTGGGTGGTGGGGAGAGGTTCAGGTAGCCGCTCTTGGTCACCACGGTGGGTGGGTGGTGGGTGGGTGGTGGGGAGAGAGAGGTTCAGGTAGCCGCTCTTGGTCACCACGGTGGGTGGGTGGTGGGTGGGTGGTGGGGAGAGGTTCAGGTAGCCGCTCTTGGTCACCACGGTGGGTGGGTGGTGGGTGGGTGGTGGGGAGAGAGAGGTTCAGGTAGCCGCTCTTGGTCACCACGGTGGGTGGGTGGTGGGTGGGTGGTGGGGAGAGGTTCAGGTAGCCGCTCTTGGTCACCACGGTGGGTGGGTGGTGGGTGGGTGGTGGGGAGAGAGAGGTTCAGGTAGCCGCTCTTGGTCACCACGGTGGGTGGGTGGTGGGTGGGTGGTGGGGAGAGGTTCAGGTAGCCGCTCTTGGTCACCACGGTGGGTGGGTGGTGGGTGGGTGGTGGGGAGAGAGAGGTTCAGGTAGCCGCTCTTGGTCACCACGGTGGGTGGGTGGTGGGTGGGTGGTGGGGAGAGGTTCAGGTAGCCGCTCTTGGTCACCACGGTGGGTGGTGGGTGGGTAGGCGGGTGGTGGGGAGAGAGAGGTTCAGGTAGCCGCTCTTGGTCACCATGGTGGGTGGGTGGTGGGTGGGTGGTGGGGAGAGAGAGGTTCAGGTAGCCGCTCTTGGTCACCACGGTGGGTGGGTGGTGGGTGGGTGGTGGGGAGAGAGAGGTCCAGGTAGCCGCTCTTGGTCACCACGGGGCTGTGTGGATAAGTAAAGGTGCTTATGTCATGTAGGAAATGTGGCGGAAAGGCTGACGTAAATCCTATAGAAGTCTATGGGAGTAGCCAGTGAATGATTGCAATTTGTAGTGTGGATAGGTTAGGTAAGCCGTCCGTGCAGAACTCATTCAATGCAACTCAGTGACGTGCCCCCCTTGTGACGTCACCACGGCGCTTTGTATTGGCTAGGTGCATGCACTCTGAGGCCACGTGAAGTGTCAAAGGGTCGCTGCTGGCAGGTCACGTGACAGACCCAGCAGGTGCCATGGGTTGACTGCTGTGCCAGGCTAGGTGCAGGAGGAGGTCACGGGACAGACGCAGCGGGTGCCATGGGTTGTACTGCTGTGCCAGGCTAGGTGCATCTGACGACAAACACCTGGGCAGTTCACCACCATTGGTTCAAGCAGAGCCTGTCTCTTGCTTCTGCTGATGAGACACAGAGCTGGGCAGACTTCGAATACAGCAGCAGCAGCAGGCATCGTCAGGGTCGGGATGGAACCCACGACCTCCTCTGTACCAGGCGAGGTAGTTAACATCTCGCCAGGGTCGGGATCGAACCCACGACCTCCTGCGTACCAGGCGAGGTAGTCAACATCTCGTCAGGGTCGGGATCGAACCCACGACCTCCTGCGTACCAGGCGAGGTAGTCAACATCTGAACCCAAGTCACCTTAGACCCAGGCAGCAGCAACTCGCCACAACAAACACAATTGCAACGTTATGTTGAGTCCGCTTATTTATTAACAACAATCGATAATCAAACAAATGTCTAGATATATATGTACACATGATTACATTATAACTTATTTATAATATCTCTATCCTAACTCTTCACACGCGCGCGTGGCTAGGCAAGCTGTAGTCCATTGTGTGGTGAGTGTGGGTGGTGAGTGTGAGTGTTGTGTGGGTGGTGAGTGTGGGTGGTGAGTGTGGGTGGTGAGTGTGGGTAGTGAGTGTGGGTGGTGAGTGTGGGTGGTGAGTGTGGTGAGTGTGAGTGTGGTGGGTGTGGTGAGTGTGGGTGGTGAGTGTGGTGAGTATGAGTGTGGGTGGTGAGTGTGGGTGGTGAGTGTGGGTGGTGAGTGTGGGTGGTGAGTGTGGTGAGTGTGGGTGGTGAGTGTGGGTGGTGAGTGTGAGTGTTGTGTGGGTGGTGAGTGTGGGTGGTGAGTGTGGGTGGTGAGTGTGGGTGGTGAGTGTGGGTGGTGAGTGTGGTGAGTGTGAGTGTGGTGGGTGTGGTGAGTGTGGGTGGTGAGTGTGGTGAGTGTGGGTGGTGAGTGTGGGTGGTGAGTATGGTGAGTGTGGGTGGTGAGTGTGGTGAGTGTGGGTGGTGCGTGTGGGTGGTGCGTGTGGGTGGTGAGTGTGGTGAGTGTGGGTGGTGAGTGTGGGTGGTGAGTGTGGTGAGTGTGGGTGGTGAGTGTGGGTGGTGAGTGTGGGTGGTGAGTGTGGTGAGTGTGAGTGTTGTGTGGGTGGTGAGTGTGGGTGGTGAGTGTGGGTGGTGAGTGTAGTGAGTGTGGGTGGTGAGTGTGGGTGGTGTGGGTGGTGAGTGTGGTGAGTCTGGTGAGTGTGGGTGGTAAGTATGGTGAGTGTGGGTGGTGAGTGTGGTAAGTGTGGTGAGTGTGGGTGGTGAGTGTGGTAAGTGTGGTGAGTGTGGGTGGTGAGTGTGGGTGGTGAGTGTGGTAAGTGTGGTGACGGTGGTGAGTGTGGGTGGTGAGTGTGGGTGGTGAGTGTGGTAAGTGTGGTGACGGTGGTGAGTGTGGGTGGTGAGTGTGGTAAGTGTGGTGACGGTGGTGAGTGTGGGTGGTGAGTGTGGTAAGTGTGGTGAGTGTGGGTGGTGAGTGTGGGTGGTGAGTGTGGTAAGTGTGGTGACGGTGGTGAGTGTGGTGTCCAGTCCAATCTCGGTATCAGTTCTGGCGTCCTCTCATCAGGCTTCTGCCACAGCTGGGCCCACGGTGGTGAGCGGTGATGATGACGATGGCGATGATGATGATGGTGATGACGGCGATGATGACGGCGATGGTGATTGGAGCTTCTCCTCCGGCTCCGCTCTGTGGAGAGAAGCAGCAGCACCACAGCAGCGCATCATCATCGTCATCATCGTCATCACCATCATCATCATCATCGTCATCATCGTCGTCATCGTCATCATCGTCATCATCACCGTGATGATATCGAGCCCACGACTTCCTGCGTACCAGGCAAGGGAGTTAACATCTCCTAGCCACCGTGATGATGATGAGAGAAAGAGAGAGACGCAGACTGCAAATATACAGCAGCAGCAGCAGCCAGGCATCGTCAGTCGGGATCGACCCCACGACCTCCTGTGTACCAGGCGAGGTAGTTAACATCTCATCAGGGTCAGGATTGAACCCACGACCTCCTGTGTACCAGGCGAGGTAGTTAACATCTCATCAGGGTCGGGATTGAACCCACAACCTCCTGCGTACCAGGCAAGGTACACAGAGAGAGAGGCTCACCGTGGCTCAGCAGCTGCAGAGCCCTGCACAGGAGTGGTGCCGCCGCTGCTGCTGATGGTGGTGGTGGCCCAGCTGGTGGTGTCGGCCCAGCTGGTGGTGGTGGCCCGGATGGTGGTGGTGGTGGTGGCCCAGCTGCTGGTGGTGGCCCAGTTGATGGTGATGGGCCGGATGTAGATGATGGGAGTGGTGGTGGCGGTGGTGGGGGAGGCCCTGCTGGTGGTGGCCTCGCTGGTGGTGGGGGTGGCCTCGCTGGCGGTGGGCGTGGCCTCGCTGGCGGTGGGTGTGGCCTCGCTGGCGGTGGCCTCGGTGTTGGTGGGGGTGGCCTCGCTGGTGGTGGGCGTGGCCTCGCTGGTCGTGGGGGTGGTCTCGATGGGGGTGGGGGTGGCCTCGTTGGTGGTGGGGGTGGACTCGGTGTGGGTGGGGGTGGCCTCGCTGGTGGTGGGGGTGGCCTCGGTGTGGGTGGCCTCGCTTGTGGTGGGGGTGGCCTCGGTGTGGGTGGGGGTGGCCTCGCTGGTGGTGGGGGTGGCCTAGGTGTGGGTGGCCCTACTGGTGGTGTGGGTGGCCCTGCTGGTGGTGAGGGTGGCCCTACTGGTGGTGGGGGGTTGCCCTGCTGGTGGTGGGGGTGGCCCTGCTGGTGGTGTGGGTGGCCCTGCTGGTGGTGGGGGTGGCCCTGCTGGCGGTGGGAGTGGCCCTGCTGGTGGTGGGCGTGGCCTTGCTGGCGGTGGGAGTGGCCTTGCTGGCGGTGGGAGTGGCCCTGCTGGTGGTGGGAGTGGCCCTGCTGGCGGTGGGCGTGGCCCTGCTGGTGGTGGGGGTGGCCTTGCTAGCGGTGGGAGTGGCCTTGCTGGCGGTGGGCGTGGCCTTGCTGGCGGTGGGAGTGGCCCTGCTGGTGGTGGGCGTGGCCTTGCTGGCGGTGGGAGTGGCCTCGGTGTGGGTGGGGGTGGCCTCGGTGTGGGTGGGGGTGGCCTCGGTGGGGGTGGGGGTGGCCCTGCTGGCGGTGGGAGTGGCCTCGGTGTGGGTGGGGGTGGCCTCGGTGTGGGTGGGGGTGGCCTCGGTGGGGGTGGGGGTGGCCTCGGTGGGGGTGGGGGTGGCCTCGGTGGTGGTGGGGGTGGCCTCGCTGGTGGTGGGGGTGGCCTCGCTGGTGGTGGGGGTGGCCTCGCTGGTGGTGGGGGTGGCCTCGCTGGTGGTGGGGGTGGCCTCGCTGGTGGTGGGGGTGGCCTCGATGGTGGTGGGGGTGGCCTCGGTGTGGGTGGGGGTGGCCTCGGTGTGGGTGGGGGTGGCCTCGCTGGTGGTGGGGGTGGCCCTGCTGGTGGTGGGCGTGGCCCTGCTGGTGGTGGGGGTGGCCCTGCTGGTGGTGGGCGTGGCCCTACTGGTGGTGGACGTGGCCCTGCTGGTGGTGGGCGTGGCCCTGCTGGTGGTGGGGGTGGCCTTGCTGGCGGTGGGAGTGGCCTTGCTGGCGGTGGGAGTGGCCTTGCTGTCGGTGGGAGTGGCCCTGCTGGTGGTGGGCGTGGCCCTGCTGGTGGTGGGCGTGGCCCTGCTAGCGGTGGGCGTGGCCTTGTTGGCGGTGGGGGTGGCCCTGCTGGCGGTGGGAGTGGCCCTGCTGGTTGTGGGGGTGGCCCTGCTGGCGGTGGGAGTGGCCTTGCTGGCGTTGGGAGTGGCCTTGCTGGCGGTGGGAGTGGCCCTGCTGGCGGTGGGCGTGGCCTTGCTGGCGGTGGGAGTGGCCTTGCTGGCGTTGGGAGTGGCCTTGCTGGCGTTGGGAGTGGCCTTGCTGGCGGTGGGAGTGGCCCTGCTGGCGGTGGGAGTGGCCTTGCTGGCGGTGGGAGTGGCCTTGCTGGTGGTGGGCGTGGCCCTGCTGGTGGTGGGGGTGCTGCTCGTGGTGGTGGTGGTGGTGGTGATGATGGTTTGGAGCCAGCTGTGAGCCAGCGCCTTCTTAGGCGTCATCCGGAGTTTCGGATCCCATCTGTTGGGAGGGACACGGGGAGGGAGGGAGGGAAGGAGGGAGGGGGGAGGCGCACAGGTGGTGAGAGGGGCATGGTGAGATGATTTGACAGTGCAACCGTTTCAATTCGGGCAGCAACAACAAAAAAATTCGTGTCCATTTGTGTTTGTGTTTCTCCCTTGCGATGGGACTTTGTAGGATGAACGCTGAGATTTATAAGGGGGCACGGGGGGTGACCGATGAGTTCTGAAATTGGGTCTGCAGCGAGGCAGGGCACCGATAAGCTGTTGACAGGTATGGGGTGGTGAGCGGGGGGGTGAGCGAGAGGGTGAGCGAGAGGGTGAGCGAGAGGGTGAGCGAGAGGGTGAGCGAGAGGGTGAGCGAGAGGGTGAGCGAGAGGGTGAGCGTGCTTCGTACTGCAGACAGCGGCTGACGAAGTCCACCAGCTGAGGGTGACGGCCCCACAGAGCGCGGTGCAGGGGGATACTTCCCGGTGGCCTCAGCTTGGACAGGTTGTCGGGGAGTCCCTCAGAGTCTCCAGAGAGACAGAGAGACAGAGAGACGCGCGCAGAGTCACCAACCACCACGTGGCCCACAGACCCCGCTCACCCACTTAACCACCCACCTTCCTATCCACCTACACACCCACTCACCCCACTTACACACCCCACTCATCCACTTAACCACCCACCTTCCTATCCACCTACACACCCACTCACCCACTTACGTACCCACTCACCCACTCACCCACTCACATACCCACTCACCCACTCACCCACAACCACCCACCTTCCTATCCACCTACACACCCACTCACCCACTTACATACCCACTCATCCACTTAACCACCCACCTTCCTATCCACCTACATACCCACTCACCCCACTTACATACCCGCTCATCCACTTAACCACCCACCTTCCTATCCACCTACACACCCACTCACCCCACTTACATACCCACTCACCCACTTAACCACCCACCTTCCTATCCACCTACACACCCACTCACCCACTTACATACCCACTCATCCACTTTATCCACTCACCTTCCTATCCACCTACACACCCACTCACCCCACTTACATACCCACTCACCCACTTAACCACCCACCTTCCTATCCACCTACACACCCACTCACCCCACTTACACACCCCGCTCATCCACTTAACCACCCACCTTCCTATCCACCTACACACCCACTCACCCACTTACATACCCACTCATCCACTTAACCACCCACCTTCCTATCCACCTACACACCCACTCACCCCACCTACATACACACTCACCCACCCTCTCACTCACCCACCCACCCACCCCTATAAGAGCCTCACTGCCACCACCCCCCCCACCCCACCTAACAAAACGGAATGGGTTACATCGCTAGCGTCAGCCTGCCCGAGCCCTTCAACTCACCAAAGTAATTTTTCCTGTAAGGGGCTTCGTCCACCATCTTCTTCGGGGGCATGCCCAGCATCTGCGCACGATTTCCGACGAAGACAAAAAGAGGAGGAGGTAGAGGAGGAGGAGGAGGAGGAGGCGGGGGGGACAGTTACAGCCGGTGTAGCCTCAGCGGGCCCATTGGGGCAAGTGCCGTCAGTCAGCGGTGAGTAGTGGCGGAGGCAGCTCGTGTGGAGGCCAGCACTGTGGCCAAAGAACAGGTCCCTGCAGGGTGGGCTGGTAGGAACATTGGAATTTTGCGCAATTTTATTTTACACCCCAACAGCACGAGATTTCACTTTGTTAAAGTATTGAAAGGGGACGGACGGACGGACACATTAATCTATTGCAGGCTGGTACACTCAGTTTACAACTTCGTTCCTACCAGTATAACAATCCCCTCCCTCCTAGTCTTAGCCTTCTCTGATTGCTTGGGGAAAGTGCTGTTAGCAGCGAGCAGCACCTATGAAGGCCGGCACTGTGTACAAAGAGACATCAATTCCCCCGCTCCACGTATTAGCCTCATCTCATCGCTGGGGCAAGCGCTGCTAGTAGCGAGCGGCACCTATGAAGGCCGGAACGGCACACGAGGGGGTGGGTGCCCAGGGCCACGCCCGGCCACCTTTGTCTCCCCCAGTATAAAATGTTTACTACACACCGCTACGCCAGGTACTCGTTTGAGGCTGACTCAACCTATGATAGGCCCAGGACCAGTTCGGATATTCCTCGCTGGTGTTTGTGGCTGTGGGAGGGAATACAACTCTATGAGTATGGTTCTCTGTGGGTCTTTACGGGGTCTCTATGAGTATGGGTCTCTGTGCAGACCCACAGAGACCCGTACCCATAGAGACCTGCCCGCCCGCTCACCCACCATACAGACCCACCGTACCCACCCACCATACCCACCGTACCCACCCACCATACCCACCGTACCCACCCACCATACCCACCGTACCCATCCACCATACCCACCGTACCAACCCACCATACCCACCGTACCAACCCACCATACCCACCGTACCCACCCACCTGCCCGTACCTCGATGCAGCGGTGCAGGTGGTCTTTGTAGGTATGTGAATTGAAGAGCACCTTGCCGGTGGCCAACTCGGCCACGGTGCAGCCCAGGGCCCACATGTCCACGGCACAGGTGACACGGTAGCCCAGCAGCAGCTCCGGGGCCATGTAGGGCAACGTCCCGCCCACGGTTTGGGCTGAGCAACAACAACAACAACAACGACGACGACGATGACTACAAAGTGGTCCCTCCGTCAACAGCGACGCGGGTGGAACAGTTTTTTCTCTCGGTCGGTTAAACGCGTGGTCGGCTTCTGCGACCGATACGTCACGGCGGATGGCGAGTGTTTTTATTTCGGGTTGGACCGCGTACTCTGGCTGCCCGCCCGATGACGATGATGATGATGACGATGACGATGATGATGACGATGATGATGACGATGATGATGACGATGATGATGACGATGATGATGATGATGATGCTCGGCTGCGAGCGCTCGAATTGTAAACGTCGTAGCGGGTTCACAACTCCAGCGCACCGGTTAGTGCTGTGCAAGCGACGAATCGATTGGCCGCGTCCCGCCCGCGTGACGCTGAACCTCACCGGCTGGCTGCACTTTAGGTGTTCTATCGGCTTAAAGGACGCGACCTGGCTTGACTTTCTTAATTCCAATTCAAAACAACGTTTGCATTTCTAGATTTAAAGTTTTCGTGACTTGCAAGGATCCGTACTCTTTGGTTCTGTTCGGTAAAGTCACGTAGTAGGTAAAAAAATAAAACGACGAAAATCACGACGTTTCGGCCACAACACAAGCGGCCTTCATCAGGTGAAGGGATCAGGCTGTCTCGCGCCAACCGGCATGTGCACCCGCACGTACACCGCCTCTATGCCAAGTCGGCCAATCAAATGCTAATTTGTTATGCTAATTCCTTTGTCAAGGCACCTTGTTTCCTCGCACACAGCTTAAAGGTCCGCGGCCTGAGCGTGGCTGTGTTCCACTCCAGCGCTGTCCTCCAGACAACCTGGTCCCTTCACTTGATGAAGGCCGCTTGTGTTGTGGCCGAAACGTCGTGATTTTTGTTGTTTTATTTTTTTTACCTACGTGACTTTACCGAATAGAACCAAAGAGTATGGATCCTTGCAGTCACGAAAGCTTCAAGTCTAGAATTACAAACGCAACGATGACGTTGACGCGAGATAACCCCTGAGCAAAAAATATATATATATATAAAACTCCACGCACGCAAAAGCCCCACTCGCTCACTTTTATACTTCAGGTAGAAGCTGCATCCGAAGTCGTTGACCCTCACTTTGCCGTCCGCGGTGAGCAGAATGTTGTCCTGGAACAAAGAGCAGAGACGGGGGAAGGGATTCCACGCTCGGAGGTTACGGCAGGAGCGTCCAGCCAGCAGTGGGTCGATCACGCAAGGTGACGCATTTACACCCACACGGGCAGCCCTCCCCGCCCACCCCACCCCCCACCCCGACTTGTGACACGGGCCACGTGCCTGAGACCCGTTCGAAGTCAATGAAGAATTAAAGCTTTCGTGACCGTGTAAATCGCTCGTTGTTTTTTTCCGGTAAAGTCACGTGTGTAGGAATACCGTAAAATTATATTGAAATAAATCAATCGCGACGTTTCGACGCGCAGCACAAGCGATCCTCATCAGGTGTAAAGTAAAAAAAACAAATCACGGAGGTAAATACAACAAGAATATGAGAGACGAGAATTCAACAAACCTAGGAAAAAACATTACGTGAAGCACAACCAGTCAGGTCAACAACACAGTTAGACACTTACCTGGTGGACCACGAATTTCAGAAGAGTGTTAAATTTCGTGGTTCGCCAGGTAAGTGTCTAACTGTGTTGTTGGCCTGACTGGTCGTGCTTCTATTTAAAGCTTTCGTGACTGCAAGGATTCATCTTCTTTGGTTCTTTCGGTAAAGTCATGTAGAATGAGACTAAAATAATAAATTGATAAAATAAAATAACACAATAATATTCTCACGACGTTTCGGCCACAACGCAAGCGGCCGTCTTCAGGTGAAAGGTACGGACCCGTCGGGACGACAGAGCTTCAATGAACGATATTAAGATTCGTAGCGACTTCTCCCAACCAGCTTAAAAGTCGCTACGAATCTTAACATCGTTTATTGAAGCTCTGTCGTCCCGACAGGTCCGTACCTTTCACCTGAAGACGGCCGCTTGCGTTGTGGCCGAAACGTCGTGAGAATTTTATCGTGTTATTTTATTATTTTATTCTCATTCTACCTGGTGACTTTACCGAAAGAACCAAAGAAGATGGTTGTGCTTCGCGTGATTTTTTTCTTAGCTGTGTTGAATTCTCGTCTCTCATCTTCTTGTTGTATTTACCTCCGTGATTTGTTACTTTTTACACCTGATCAAGATCGCTTGTGTTGCCGTTCGAAGTCGTTTTAAGAAACCACAAAACCTATTTTTACTTCACTATCAGGGTGTAAGGGCCCGGCAGAGCTGCTGTGAAGCTCTTTCATCAGACACGACCTGGCCATCACGTAATGAGAGCAGCTCAACCAAGTGGCTGATATCATCATGTGCATCATCAGCAGCAGCATCATCATCGCATGGACATTTATCACAGCAGCCAAACACTCTAAACACGTGTTTCAACAGGCCCATAGAGACCCATACAGACCCACAGAGACACATACTGACCCACAGAGACCCATACTCATAGAGATCCATACAGACCCACAGAGACCCATACTCATAGAGACACATACAGACACACAGAGACCCATACAGACCCATACTCATAGAGACCCATACACACCCAGAGACCCATACTCATAGAGACCCATACAGACCTACAGAGACCCATACTCATAGAGACACATACAGACACACAGAGACCCATACTCATAGAGACCCATACACACCCAGAGACTCATACTCATAGAGACACATACAGACCTACAGAGACCCATACTCATAGAGACCCATAGACCCACAGAGACCCATACTCATAGAGACACATACAGACACACAGAGACCCATACTCATAGAGACCCATACACACCCAGAGACCCATACTCATAGAGACCCATACAGACCTACAGAGACCCATACTCATAGAGACCCATAGACCCACAGATACCCATACTCATAGAGACACATACAGAGACCCATACTCATAGAGACCCACAGAGACCCATACTCAGAGACCCACACAGAGACCCATACTCATAGAGACCCATACTCATAGAGACCCACAGAGACCCATACTCATAGAGACCCATACTCATAGAGACCCACAGAGACCCATACTCATAGAGACTCACACAGAGACCCACAGAGACCCATACTCATCGAGACCCACACAGAGACCCACAGACGGACGGGGCCCACGGTCGACCCCCCCGCGGGTCGACCGTGGGCCCCGGGGGTGGCCGCCTCCGCGCCAGCCGAGCGAGCGCCCCGGCGGGAGGTCGCCACCACCGCGGCCCGCCCCCCGCTCACCGGCTTGATGTCCGCGTGGACGACGCCCCGCCCCTTGGCGTACAGCAGGAAGTCAAGGATGGCCCCGGTGTACTCCCTCAGACGCCTCGGGTAGATCCGCCCAGCGCTCCCTTTTCTCACGACGTCTTTGAGGCTCCTCCTGAGGCCACAACGACAACAACGACGACGTTAAATAAAAACCCCTTTGCCGTTCCGATGACGTCCGCAGGGCCCCAAACGGACTGTACCACTTGGTTAGTTTTGCGGGGGGGTTGGGGGGGGGTGGTGTAAAGCCTCGTCGCTCCGCCGGTGTTCATCCGCGGCCTCGCCACGCCCCACTGCTTGCGCTGACGGAGCCAACGCCCGCAAAACGACGTTGAGTATTTTACGACGGTGATTTCGTTAAATTTCGATTTCAAGCTTTCGTGACTGGCAGTGATTCATATTGTTGGTTCTTTCGGTAAAGTGACGTCGTGAGAGTTTTATTGTTTTACGTGTATATATATTTTTATAGTTTTTATTGTTTCCCTTTCAACGTGGTGACTTTACCGAAAGATCCAAGAATATAATGATTTAATGATTTTATTGTAATTTCAACTATTTTATAATTTTTTTATTTAAAGCTTTCATGACTGCAGTAATTCATATTCTTAGTTCTTTCGGTAAAGTCACGTTGAAGGGAAACAATAAAATAATGAAATATATATAAAACAATTTAAAAAAAAATTTTAATACAATTATTTTTATACAATATTTTTTTATTGTTTTATGTATATTTTATTATTTTATTGTTTCCCTTCAACGTGACTTTACCGAAAGAACTAAGAATAATTTATTATTTTGTCACCATCGTTTTATCGCTACGATTTCATCGCAATTTAATCAACGCATTATTTTCATTATTGCTTTATTATCAGCGTTTCACGATTTTGATTTCTACGAGCGGTATATTTTTATTTCATCACAATATCCTCGTTGCTGTTTTACAATTGTTCCGTCATTTTATTACCATCTTATCACGCGTTATTTTTTTGTGTTGCATCATTACCCACCTATTAATAATGTATCATTTCATAATTTTCTCACTAACCTTTCAGTGGAAATATTTTATTACTATATTATATATATTTTTAAAAAAAATTTGAACGTGTAATTCGTGGGGAGCGTTTCCGTTGAATCGCGAGGACTTCCTGCGTCCATCTAAACAAACTGTCAAATCGCTCTCCGTGGTGCTAACGTTTAAAAATAAATAAACACAAAGCGCCACTCCTTTAAAATGTTTCTTGCCGTTGGATTTCGCACCTGATGATGACTGCTTGCGTTGCGGTCGAAACGTCGTGGGAATTTTATTGTTTATATATATTTGATTATTTTCATTGTTTCCCTATGTAATTATTATTCTTGGTTCTTTCGGTTAAAGTCACCACCATGTATTTACTTATCTACGTGGCGGTGACTTTAACCGAAAGAACCAAGAATAATAATTTTATTGTTTTACAATAATTTTATTGTTTTACAATAATTTTATTGTTTTATATATTTTATATATTTTATTATTCCCCTATCTACGTGGCGGTGACTTTACCGAAAGAACCAAGAATAATAATTTAATTGTTTTACAATAATTTTATTGTTTTATATTTTTATTATTTTATTGTTTCCCTATCTACGTGACGGCGGTGGCTTTACCGAAAGAACCAAGAATAATAATTTTATTGTTTTATATTTTTATTATTTTTTTGTTTCCCCTATCTACGTGGCGGTGACTTTACCGAAACAACCAATAATATGAATAGCTGCAGTCGCGAAAGCTTTAAATAGAAAAATAAAAATAGTTTATAGTTTAGTGATTTTTCGATTTAAAGCTTTCGTGACTGCAGGGATTCATATTCTTGGTTCTTTTGGTAAAGTCACCACGTAGTAGAAGGGAAACAATAAAATAATAAAAATATAAAACAATAAAATTATTGTAAAACAATAAAATTATTATTCTTGGTTCTTTCGGTAAAGTCACCACCACGTAGATAGGGAAACAATAAAATAATAAAAATATAAAACAATTAAATTATTGTAAAACAATAAAATTATTATTCTTGGTTCTTTCGGTAAAGTCACCCCCGCGTAGTAGAAGGAAAACAATAAAATAATAAAAATATAAAACAATAAAATAATAAACAAAAACATGTAACGTACACTACACTATACACTACACTATACACTACACTACTACACACTACACTTTACACTACACTACACTATACACTACACTCTACACTACTCTACACTATACACTACACTATACACTACACTATACACTACACTATACACTACACTATACACTACACTACTATACACTACACTACTACACTTTACACTACACTACACACTACTATACACTACACTGTACACTACACTATACACTACTACACACTACACTACTACACACTACACTTTACACTACACTACACTGTACACTACACTATACACTACACTACACACTACACACTACACTATACACTACACACTACTATACACTACACTATACACTACACACTACACTACACACTACACTATACACACTACACTTTACACTACACTATACACTACACTATACACTACACTTTACACTACACACTAGTTTCAGTTTCATTTATTTTGGTATAGCCCCATGAGCCATCCGGCTCTTGAATCGGGTGCAGCCGCAACAAACAAAAACCAAAAACACGACCAAGAAAAACATCTTAAGGTGACTTTGTGTGTGTTGACTGTGCAAAACAGAAAATCCATGGGGAAAAAACAGCAAAAATATTCCAGAAAAAGCACCGTGCACACCACCAACGCTGCGTGCAAAAATCCCAGTGTGGGATGCAAAGTCAAACAACAACCACAAGACAACTTTAGATTAAGGCCGTCAGTCTAACGCCGTACTACAACAAAACAAACATGTCCAAACCAAAAAAAACGTTTACAAAATCACCA